AGGTGTGTTTCCCAAAACAGCTTCACCTTCCTACCCTTCCGGGGTCATGAGTTTACATGCATTCCTCATGTGTTATTTAATCCCTATAAATATAATTAATTATCGATATTGTATATTAACAACAAGGTGTAGTTATCACATGTTCCAATCAATGCCAGGCTGCCGGGGGTTCACGTCGGAGTTCTGCTACCCCTTCCTGTATGAGCTGGAGCAGGTTAATTAACCTTTCTGCGCCTCGGTTTCCTCATTTGCAAGATAGGATTAATATTGATGCCTACCCCATGGAATTGCTGTTTATTTAATGACATAATATTTATAAAAATATGCCCTGCGTAAGTGCCAAATAGGCCAAAAGAAGGATGAATTGCTGCACCCCATTGAGCAAAGTGTTACTACGTTTTCTTCACCCTGCAATTACTTATTTGGATCTTCCAGGTGTTCCTCTAAACTAGGAATTCTGGAATTTGCTTTACAAATCCACCTTTGCAACACCTACACCCTTTTTGGTTTCCTTTAGAGTCTTTAAGATTAGTTTTCTTCTTTTAGGCCATTTTCTCTTATCCAAGCAGCCCTTTATCAGGACCTCTCTGTGCTCCAAACTCTTGTAGGGCCTCCGCACTGGGTTCAGTGAAGCACCCCCACCCCCAGCCCCTGGCCTCGCCTGTGTTTGCAGCCAGATCTCCCACAGCTCTCTCAGAGGGTCTCCTGCTTCAGTCACGTCGATGAAGTCACATGAGCACCCTCTTTGTCTTGCACCTGAGTTGTGTCCTGGTGTCCTCACACTGCATCTGCGCCAGTATTTCTTGTCATATCTTTGATCTGCCAACTACCAAGTTGAGTAATGGACCATGGCCCTCAAAATAAAATGAGTAATCACTTCCAGCCTTTACAACATCATATTTTCTTTTGATCTTGACACAAACTCAGAAAACAACAGTGATGGCAGCCACCATGTTCATTGGAATAGTGTCAATTCAAACACAGAACACAGCTTAAAATCAAGCAAAGATGTCAACGCCATGATTCTAAGAAAAAACTTGTAATTCCCTGATAACTGGTATGAACGTCTTTGAAGAGTATAAAGCAATGCAAATATAAATAAAATAGTTATAATGCTTAGAATGGAGAAACGTTAAGTAAAACACTGTACTAAAATAGATTTTTTGAAAATTAATGTACCAAGTTTGTATACTCTACAAGCAATTTCGCATTCTTGGAGCAAAATTCATATGAAAGATTCTTTTAAATGCTGCATCGTACTGCAGTAGAATTATGAAATCCTGTCCTTCCACATTTAAATGTATTGGCTATGCATGTTTAGTTCACTTATAGGTGTATATTGAATAAATGAATTGTGTTTGCATATTTATTTAGAAACTTTACTTGCATCTCGGGTCCTGAGAAATAGTTGCTCGATACTCGTGGAGATAGATCATTTTGGAGGGGCGAGGATGACGTGGGAAGGAAGAGTGAGTCTTTACCCTTTCTCTGCACAGGCTAGAGCAACAACAGGGCTTGTCTACAAAGGGTTATCACTTACAACTGGCTAGTTAATTTCCCACACATTATTTATATCACGTGCAGACTTACACTTACTTAGCGCCACTTACTATATATTTGCTTTAAAAAAATAATCCCAGAATCCAATCTTAATAAAAAGATATATAAAATTACATCTTTAGATTTGATATTTTTTTTCTTCCCATGCATCTAAAAGCTAAAGTCTTCTTTCTAGGCTTACCTTTTTGTTGTATTATGAGAAATAAATTATATGGTTAATGTCTTAAATACTAATGTAAAAACAAATATAATTTGCCAATTAAGTGGAGAATGAAAGTCCTTAAAAATAGACTCTCTTCTACAACAAACTCAGTATGCTAGTTACATTATTGCTAATTATGAGTAATATTATGGAGCATGAATTATAAAGTATATTTGTTATTAAGTAAGATACAAAAAGGGGTACAATTCTATTCTTAAACACAGAGTTTATACTAAATCAGTAATTAATCTATACTAGTCGTGTGACCTTGGAAAAGCCCTTGAGTTTTAAACAATTCTAAGCATCAGTTTCCCCATCTGTAAAATGGAGTTTATTAACCTGTCAGATAAGGTTACAGTGAGGGTAAATGAGTTAACTATGTAAAGAACTGAGAAAAGTGTGTGACACATACCATCATCAAAGCTTGCACATCAGCCTTATCACGATAGATTAACTCTACCTTTAAGTAATGATACTCCTAACTGAGGCTGGAAGATTCTCGACGTGGCAAGTCTGTGGAGGAGAAGAAAAGAATAGCAACATAGTGGTGTGAAGACCAAGGAAAGGAATCCCAACCATGTCGAGAACAGGAGAACAAAAGCTGGTCCCTGAAATGCAGATCGTAGACAGGGATGGCACAGCTTCCCTGTCCTTGGGGAGGAGAAGCACTTCTTTCACCAAGACCTCAGGTGGGGCTCATGGAGGAAACTGATCAGAATGGTTTTCCTGGCTCTGCTTTCCTCATGGAATGCACCACTGAAGACAAACTGGCACTTCTTGTAGGCAATTTCCAAGGTACCCCAGAGTGACAACGTTCTCATCCCATACTTTGGGTTCAAAATGTGTGGACTTAGCACTGTATTCAATTAATTACCCCTTATCTGTTTCCAACCCTCTCTCCATCCTCTTGACCTCATTCAGTTAAGAAAGAACATCACAGCCTCGCCTAATGAGCCAATGGTGGCCAGAGGGAGGGCCAGGACCCTCATTATCCCCTTCATCTCCGGCCCACCTCTGTGGAAGCTTGAGCTCCGCCTACCTGAGCTTCGCAGTGGACATCTAATGTACTAAATGCATAATTGACTTCATATATTCAAATATATGGTAACCCTAAATACACACCCAGATGTTGTACCACAAAAAAATATTTCTTCAAAAGTTTTCCTCTGACTAAAAATAATCTATTTGCCGCTATGTCAGTACTTTTTTTTTCCATCTTTAATTGCAAGATCTTTTTTCAAACTTATAGAGTAATGGATAAAAGGACCTAAATTTAATTTTTGAATAGTTTCCTTTATTGATCACAGAAAAATTCAATTTTAATTGAAAATTTCTACTATTTGTGACTTGGTTCCATGTTCTCGCTATCAGAATTCAATGAATTCTTTCTTATTCTCTTTGAGTCCAGTATCTTTATAAGTTTGAACCCCCCACTCTTGCATCCACAAAGCAGCCAAAGGGGGACACCCTGCTTTGCCGTTTTGATGTTCTTTACATTTATTTTGGCTTTTATGTTAAAAACACCCTGTTTTTCAGCAAAGTGCCATGAATTATAAACATTTCCCAAGGAGATTATTTATCCAAAATGTTTGTTGAGTTTAAGATTTAAGCTGTATCTCTTCAAGCTCAGATTGCCTGAGAATCGTCAGATTGCTAACGTGGAAAGACCACCACATTGTTTGAAGACCACCCAGCCCTGAGCAGGAGCACCCGAACATCCAGCGCGAGAGATGCATCACTTGCCTTTCTCTCCATAATTTTTTAAAAGATAATTTTTAAAAGATTATTATAACTTTTAAAACATAGAAATATAATAATATAAATATATCTACAGTTAAAAACAAATCATAAACTCTCATTGCACTTTTGTTGGGTCACCAATTCCCTGTGCTTCTCTCTCACCACTTTCTCCCCATCCCCCTCCAAGCCTGCCTTCATGTCTTTACTTAAAGAAGGGTGAGGGATAGGAGAAAGTAAGTTCTCATATGTTTTTCTCCCCCACCCTTCTCCATGGGGACATTATTGAGATCCAAGTGCACAAATCAATATGAGCTGATCAGAAATCTCTAGCCGTTTCCTTCTGGCAAGTGGGCTAGAGAATCACAGCTGCTAGTTGTAGCTCATTTCATTAACTGTCAGCGAAAGATGGAGATGTCAGCAAATCAAAATTATGAAAGGGGGCATCTACCAATGTTACATAACGCCTTAGACAACCCACTCTAACATTAAATACCATGAATTCCTTCTGTCTCTCCCTCTCACCTCTTATTATAGGCATGCACTTTCCTGATTTTCAGTTTCCAACTGGATCATTCTTCTTCAATCTCATACTTACTTTGTTGAATTTTTCAAAATCACCGAGTTTGCACATAGTGTGACCAGTTGATGCAGAATCCCATGGAGCTCTCTCATCACACAAACACACGCAGAGCAACTGTATTATTTTATGATCATTTTGGACTCAGAAGGTTAGAGTTGAAGGACTTCTTCACCCAAGTCCTTCACGGCCACAGGAGAGGAAGCAGATGGGACAGGTGGAGTGACTTTCTCCGAGTTGACAGAAGGTGGAGCTGTATTGGTTTTCATTTTTCACCTTGATTAAAGACTGTTTTATGACAAGTTGGATCTAGAAGTGAATTGTCCTCCCCTTTTGTCAGGAGAAGGGAAAAGGGAGATAACACTGACTGTCACTGAATGCTCTCCATCCCAAGACATAAAGCGGACCTGCCTGGTGCTGTGACATAGGAGCGTGTGACTCAGTGGTTTGGGCTGTTGTTAGCTTCCCCTTTAAATGCACCCAGGTTGATGCCACAAAATACAAGTGTGGGAAAATTGCACTGATGCAACAGTAGTGTTGACACACTGGAATTGGCAGGGATGCTTCAGGAGGCAGAAATGAGGCACTCAAGGGGTGTGACTTCCAGAGATACAGCCAGAGGGCTCGGGACATATCAGTTTTGTTCTAGATCTCTCTGTGGGGTAGCATGCTGCTTCTATGGAGTAAGACGCATTCTGTTAAAAGAAATAAGAAATCTTGGAAATGGGGTCAATGGGAGTATCTTTCCCGTCCAGTTGGTAAAACAGTAAAAAATATCAATAATCTATAAAAACAAAATGTTAATTACAGACATAACGTTGAAAGAAGAGAGAGCTGCCATGATTTTAGAGTTTTTATCTATTAAAATCAGTAATTCCACTTTTGAATCCTCTTTCTTTTTTAATGTCCTATTTATTTTAGCTGAATGTGGAGCAAGTGTCAAAGGAAATGAAGGAACATTACTGTCTCCAAATTTCCCATCAAATTACGATAATAACCACGAGTGTATCTATAAAATAGAAACAGAAGCTGGCAAGGGGATCCATCTCAGGGCGCGGAACTTCCAGCTGTCTGAAGGAGATGTTCTAAAGGTAAGAAGAATCTTCTTTCACGTGAGTCCATCTTTTCTTCCCAAGAAATAAATATAATACCTATCCATCTGTATACATAGACATATACATGTAGTAATACATCTTTATATATACACATTTTTTTTTCCTCTCCTCAGGGAGAGGCTCTGGCAGGATTCAGGAGCCAGCACACTGCCCACCTTCTAGATGGACTCCAAGAAAAAAAGGCAGGGTGAGCAGATTCCAGGGGCACTGTGGTCTCACCTTGATCTGTAAATCCCAGTTCAACTGGAAACGCCCCATAATTCCTAAGGCATCCGGTGTAGTTCTCACCTCTTCTGTAATTATGTTAGGAAACTGAGGACCTTCAAGGATCTAGGGGCCAGAGATAGGGCATTTGTAGACCGAGCCTCAGGACATTGAAAGAGAAAGGCTTTGAGCAGCAAAGACTAATGCTGAACATCATCCAGTCCGTCTACCTGCTTGGTCCAATGAAAACTAAGCAATTTGTCCAGGTCACACAGCTGATTTGTGGCAAGGGAGGGACCCGTCCCTCTGCTGATTCCTTTCTAAAGTTCTGTGGTTTTTCTATTGTATTTACGTCTACATGGACACACACAATGAAGCATCTCACACTCAGCAGATTCCACTCACTTTAATCCATGAGCATTAAGAGGATATGCAAAGAGCCAGGTAAAAGGGGAACATTAGTAACCTCCCTGTTTGTCATGCATTTATGTAATGGTTAGAGTGGGGTCCCTGGAGGGTTCCACTTGACCTCACTAGGTGTTATGTGCACAGGTCAAGAGACACTTACAGACTCAAGGGCTTCCTTCCTCCTGAGTCAACGCTTGACGATGTTTCAATGTCATAGTTTAGAAACGTGGTTTTATTCTAGCTGTTCTTTCGTTGTAGCAGTCTTTTGAAAGCTCATGCTGGCAGTGTGAAGCACTGTAATTAAGAAGTGATTTTCAGGCAGGAAACTAGTACATTCTCACTGATCTAGAAAAATTTAAAGTTACATCATAAGTAGTCATTTTCTGAATTCTTTGGTAACCTCAAATTCAGAAGTCAGTAAGTTTTTAAGGCAAACTTTTGGTGCAGGTGAGCAATTAGAGATCCTGCATAATATATACAGTGGTAAATAGTACTGGAACGGAAGGGAGCAAATCTTGTTCAGTTTTTATTTTTTGCAGCTTCAACTTGTTGATTGTAACAAAAAGCCAAAAAGCAAAACCTTGCTTACCACGTTTAGTTGCAGAACAACTGTCAATCATCTGAAATGCCTACATGTTTTTCAGGCATATATTTTCTTGAATATGCTAATAAATAGCTCAGTGTTAAAAAGTGGAATTATCTTAATTTTTGAGCACAAATGCTATTCTCATCCCTCCTTCACACATAGTATGATCCAATAGTAAGACCAAAGTTTTATATACACTCAACTCCCCGCACACAGACGTGATGTTTCCTTGCTTCACATGGAAGAATCATGTAAGAGAAATATAGCTCTAATGGAAATGTCACGAAAGGAATATAGAATGGAAAGGGAAGTTGATTTTGGAAACGGAGCCCTTGGAGACAGCTCCTGCAAGACAGGGAGAGATTTCCCCAGTCCTGTCACTCCAGGATCCTGGGTGATGTTTTCTAACCTGTGATCCTCTGCTAACTTGGCTATTCCACTTGGAGCATATGACATTGATTAAATGCCAAGCTCTGAGGAGGGTTTGTAGTGTAAATGGTTTCAGCCTTGTATTAACATATGACTCAAGGAGCCTTTTCCTACTAACTGAAAGGAAGGCTTGGATTCTAGCTGCTTATAGATGAGGAAATACAACTAGGAGGTGTTGTGCTGGACTAAACAAGCTTGTGACTAATTTGATCAGAATTGAAAATCAAGTATTCCGACTTCCAATACTATCTGGGGTGTCATTTGTGATAAGTACAAAACTTGAATCCAGATTTTCAACATGAGAGAGCTGACAAAATAAGGCACTTCATTGGCTGGTTACTTCTTCATTTGGAGATGTTTCTGTCAAGCACAGTGTTGATTGCCGGTGATGAAGAGAAACAAGACAGAAATACTGTTCTGGAGAAGCTTATCATTCAGTATTTTAAAGTTCCTGTTTTTTTTTCTTTTTGGTGATGAAGATTGGCCCTGAGCTAACATCTGTTGCCAATCTTCCTCTCTTTTGTATGTGGGATGATGCCACAACAGTGTCTTGATTAGTGCTGTGTAGGTCCATGCCTGAGATCTGAACCCGTGAAACCTGGGCTGCCGAAGTGGAATACACAAACTTAAGCACTATGCCACCAGACTGGCCCTCAACGGTTCATCTTCAGTGGTTGTAGTTATGAGCATACTGTGAACTAGGGGCCGTTCACAGGATCTACTCAATCTCTGTGATGCCCTCAGTCGACTGCTTGTTAGGAAGCCAGGACTGGTAGAGTTGACTGTTGACAATGCTCCAGAACTTTAGGAGTGAACTTCAGGGTCTGCTTACTTGTTTTCATGCCTCTCATGTCCGTGGACTTCTATAAATTACAGAGAATTCCATGGCATGGAATTGACATGACCCAACACCTTTCTGGAGAGGCCTGGAGAATTTCTTTTTGATTCCTCTTGACTTGAAATTCTTTATTCTTTGAGTGACAGAAGGCTCCTTATGTCTAATGAATTCATATATTAAGCCAAATAGTGATTTTTCAACAATAGCCCGTTTCTAGCTTCTTGTGAAGAGTTACACGGTATTTGATTCTACTGCTCGAGCGTATGCTTATGTAATTGAAATGAAATAAAATAATGACCCATAAAATTAATTTTTCTGATGTGTTGTCTCCTTTTTGGAGTATCTGTGTCTGTGTATCTCAGTCTAGCAGCATATATGGTTTATACGTTTACTAGAAGAGAGATGAGAGAAGAAGGGTAAACATCAATCTGTGAGAGAAGGAAGACAAGTGGGGGAAATACGCAGACATGGAGGAAGCTCCTGAGGACTTGGATAACCTTTATTTAATTAAGATATGCATGTTTTTAATATAAAGTAAAATTTTTATTATCTCTTCCAAAAAGCCCTTATCCATACCAATGTTTCCCTACAATGAGCCATTGGAATGGTTCACAGAGGCAAATGGGTGAACCGTTCCCACTGAGCATTCTCTTCTTAGTTTCCTGGGGATGTGAGGGGTCCTAACGCTGAATTCTACCAGAACGTGAATGCCGTTCATTCTGGCACGAGCAGAAAAGTATTCCATGGGCTATCTCCCAGTGCCCATGCCCTAAAACAGACACAATCCCCACTCAGGAAACGTGGTTGCCACCCCCCTGTTCCGAGTGTGTTCTACCTCAGTGAAACTCAGGGGTCATCGCTGAACCCCCCTCTCCCTTACCCCTGACCCTGACGTCTGCTCAAAACCAACCTCTGTCTGCTTCACCTTCCAAACACTTGCTGTATCCACTCAGGCTTTATAACCACCTAGGAAGATAAAGTCAAATACAAAGTATTTTAGGGCAGGATGACTCATCTCTCTGATATTATTACATGATGCAATTCTTTTATTACAACTAATAAAAGACTAAAGTCACATCAGGCTCAAAGACTAGAAAATGTGACAAGATTTCAGCACATTGTCTTTTCACGTAATACGTTCGGACAGAGAAGAATGAGATACCCTATTACTTATAGGATAGCTCAGAGAAGACATTTGTGACTGAAATATTTTACATCCTTTCCACCTTTATAAGCGGATTATGAGAAAGGGAAAAAGGTAGATAAGGGAATCTGGAAATGCAGAGAAATGTTTATTTAACTTTCAATAAACTCAGAAAGAGCTCTCAAAGTGATGAATGGGAAATGATCTGAACACAAATGGAATCTTTTTATCTTTAATGTTAATGGTAAAGATAGCACTTAAAGAAAAAAGATTGTTTAGCATCGTCATCCATCCAGCTTTCTATGAACTGTATCACTTTTTAAAGCACTGTAAGAAATCACATCTTTGAAGATTTGAATGTCTTGTTGAAATTGCTGCCATAAAAACACAATGAAGCAATAGGCGGACTCATGCTGTGAATTCTCTTTAGGTGTATGATGGCAAAGAGAGTTCATCACGCCCATTGGGGGCCTTCACTAAAAATGAACTGATGGGGCTGATCCTAAACAGCACTTCAAATCACCTGTGGCTAGAATTCAACACCAATGGATCTGACACCGAACAAGGCTTCCAGCTCACCTACACGAGTAAGTAGCGTATGACTTAATCATTTCACTTCATGTTCTATTTTCTCAGGATATAGCTGTTCCTTAGTGATATGTTACATTTTAAATATAAATTTTTTTTCTGGCCTCCTTACTGTGTTTTGGATTGCTATTTAATTCTGTACGCTGTTGACCAGGCAGTAAATTCACACACATTACCGGAAGCAAGTTTGAAGTTTATCTATTTAGAAGTATTAGTATTTTCATAATAAAGTGTCTGTACTTGAAAAGAAAATATCATGACCTTTAAGAGCTTCTGGGCTTAAAAATATTGAACGTGATATTGTGCACATAAACAAAAATTGTTATACATATACATGAAAGATTTAGAATGAATGTTTGGTATAATTAATAGTAATAGTCTTTGAATGCCTACCACACATCAATACTTTTCTGTTATATCTATGTATCTTTCTGTACATCTATTAGATTCTATACTTTATAAAATATATATTACATATATGTAATAAATATATGCAATTATACAAATATATGAATGCATACATGCACATACACACAGGTACTGTTATGTGTGAGTATATATATGTGTGTATGTATATATATGTAAAACAACTCTATGTAGTAGGCTCTTTCTTGTCACCACTAATTTCCTAATGAGAAAACTAACCACAGGTAATTTGAGTATTTGTCCAAGATACCAGCTACGTGAACTGTTAGAGCTCGGATTTGATCTGTAGCTCACAGTTTTCAGCAGTGTTCTATAGTGCTCCCCCATTAATATAAATCAATATGGAAAATGGAAATTATTTTTAAGATGAATGTGAAGAAGACAAAGGAGGATAAAAAATAAAGGAGGAGAAGAATTTGTACTTTCAAAAAAAGAAGTTTGTGATATAATAACTATTTTCAACATTTTTAGTTCCATACAAGTAAAGTAGAAAATGTAGCTATTTGGTGTACATAGCCAATTAAAAAATTAAGTAATCAGATAAATAAAATGCTTAAAATATACAAAATAGTTTAATCCTTCACCAATCTGATGCTTAAAAATCTTTGTGGCATCAAATACCGTGACATAGGAAGTTAACAGTTTTGTATGTTTGAGCATGAAAGTATGTTGATGATCATCAAGACTGATTCCTGTACTTGACAGATGAGCAAATGAAGGCTTGGAAAAGATGATAATTATTCCAGACACAGAACTAATCCAGGTGTCTAAAAGGAAGATTAATTGCCTCAAATCTTTCTTGGTTGGTGAAATTACAGTTGAAGATTTGTAAGACTTTGGGCAAAAATAGAGCTAGAGTAGCTTTCATCCTGAGAAAACCAATGTTTCACTTTTAGGAAAATAACCTTTTAAAAGGCTCCGTTAATATAAAACATATTCATTGTATTGCATGCCAAATATATTAGTCACAATGGACATTATAAAATTAATTTATAATTATATTTTTTCTTTATTAGAATTCCACTTTTCAGGATTTCATTCTCAAACAAGTTCCAAAGAGTTCTTGTAAAACCATTTTGCTTTGCTTGCAGATAGTCTATTGTGATCTCTGTGCATCTGCTTCAGTTTCTCCACCAGAATACTCCTCATCTTTTGTTTTGTTACTTGGATGTGTTAATCCCCACTTCCTAGCTCTTACACCAGTCTTAAAGTCCCAGAGGAATGTGGCTACTTGGGAAGGAAAGCTGTTTGAAAACCCTTTAGGTAACTTTCTGTGTTTATTATAACTAAGGAGAAATTCCTGGACACCTGGGTTGTTCCTCCACTTCTCTTGTTGCTTTAGCTCATCTGACAAATCTTGCCTCCTACTGTGATTTGTTGGCAAAAAGGAGGAAGCATTGGCCTTGTGCTTCCCTTTCTCCTATGTGCATCCCTACGCCTCATCCTTAATACTGCCCCAAGTCTGGGGGTTACAGAGCTCAGCATTGTCTCTCCCACAGCTGCTTCATAGAAAACTTATCATGCTGAGCTTCTACTTTATTTCTCATTGTTGTCCCAACCTTAGTAACTGCTGCCTGTTCTCCCTCCAACTATTTCCAACTAGTGTAATTCTTGATTTATGAACACTTGCTCCTATATTCTCATGGTTGTGCAAAAGATATTCAGAAGGAAATTCATGCTTATGGTTCTGGATTTATTATTGAGGAGGAGGTTACTGAACTGTTTCCAGAACTTCAACTCCCCTCTTATTGTCCAAATAACAGTTGAGAAGCATTCTCTAAAATCTCTGTATTCTCTAAGAATACGTAATTGGATTGAAATTACAGACTGTGGGCTTCCTCATCCTTCCCTCATCAAGAGTTGTTTCTTCCATGTGCTTCCTCAGCCTCAATTAGACCCCACGTGGCTGTGGTAGCTCTATGTTTCTCCATGGCGTCCAGCAGCACTTTGGGACATTTTACTGCCCCTCCTATTTCTCTGAGTAACTTTAAGAAAGCTTGAATCTGAGGATCTACTTATGGGCACTTTCCAATTATATGGACATTATTATTTGCATGGAAGTGCAAACTTTCTAAAAACAAGAGAAAGGTATATTGGCAATAATTGGTATTTAGCTCTTACTATCATCAATCTGACAAGAGTAATTATCTTTTTTGCCTGTTTTCCCTCTTTGATTCCATCTCCCAAAATGCACACGCTCCCTGGGCACAAGTCTTGTTTGCAAGATTGCCCTAGAGCTGAAACAAACTGCCAGATGGGAAAAGATATTTGTAATACAGAATTGATGGCACTGATAGCTATATTATCAAAATATTATTAACTTCACATTAAATTCTGAGGTTTAAACACTAACTAATTAAGTTTAAGAAATTCCAAGATCCCATAATGTGATTAAATACCTGATTCAAATATTCATCCCTAAAATATGCTTTGAAAATAATGAATGCTTATAAAATGTTTCGAGCAAATTATTTAAGTTTAAGACTATGTGAAGACACTTTTCGACTAACTGCTTTCAAAAGACTTTTGTAATTTCCTCTTACTAGTTAACTGTATTACTTCAGGAAACATTCGTATTTAAACGTTTAGGATCTGTAATTAACCTACACACATGAGTGGAATACAAAATATCAACAGGGAGCAAATATATACCTTAATAAGCATCCTAAAATTTTTGAAATGAATGAAATTTTGAATTTTTGAAATTTACAAATAATATTCTTATGTCCTTTAATATTTGCAGCCTACTCTTGCATGCTTTCTAATTTTACCATCTTGGCAATGCTGGGTCTTGGTAAGCAGCTCCTCTTTATTCTTCAGAGGTTAGAAACGCCTCTTTAAGTGTTTCAGTAGTTTGTTGAAGCTTTCACCTCCTGGAGTGCTGCAGCCAGCAAGAAATCCAGGTGTTCTAACTGAAGCCAGGAACTGCTGATGAACTTATTTTTAAATATTTTCGATGATCTTACTTTGATGAGTACCACATATATTGACTGATGCATGTGTAAAGGCACTGACAAGGAAGAAAAGCCAGGCGTCTCTGGCACAAGTTCGAATAGATATATTAATAGGCATTTATTAAGTAACAATTAGTTTCTGAATAATAGGTTCAGGCAATGTAGAACTGAAAAAGTTTACCTCTGTGAAAAAACACCGCTTTTTGTTACAGGTTTGTCTCTAGTCATAACAGATGATAGCCTTCTGATTCTATAAAGATGTCGAATGAAAGCACACGGCATAAGCTCTTTGAGATCAGGGACAACGGGTGTTCGTTTTCTTAGTCCCCTCTGCACCTCGCACAGATGTCTCATCTGTAATATAAAAGCTTAGATGGGATGGCTGTTATTCAAGCTTATTCTACAGAGCACTAAGATTCCATAGAGCTGGCCCAGGGCAATAAGAGTTTTGCTTTATTTAACATAATCCTTTTTGTTTTGCTTTCTGCTAGTGATTCTAAAGCTCTTCAAATATCAGGAAAAATCATATTGACAATGGATTACTATGTTTTCTAAATATTTCAGCAAACATTTTTAAAGAAAAGGAGTTCTGAGAATTTAAAAAAATCCTATATTGAATTCAGAATTCTTTAAAAATATGTTGACTTTTTTAGAGTTCCACAAGAATATTCCCAGAATAGTCATTCTTCAGAAACAGTTTACCACAGGATGTATGGGAGAATTTGGGAACAAAACAGGCTTTCTGGATTGTGTACTCTTAGTTATTTAAATAGGGAGAAACAAACCAACCCTCCGTCACAATTCAACGAGAAATTCTTGCTACCTAGAGATGTAGTAAAAGAAGTGTAGCTTAGACAAGCATCTCTGGGCTGTCTCGGTGGAACCTCTTTTTGATTAATCGATGACTGTACCTGTGTCACCTGTGTCCTGAATGATTAGCACTCTACTGAAACAGACAAGGCAAAAGCCATGGTTCCTGTTTGCAAATAAATGGCTTAGGATGGTAAAATTTAGCACTTGTGAAAATTGGTCAATAGAACTGTGACTCTATAATTGTATTCTGAACTATGGGATGGATCTGTAGATGTGGTTGTGGGAGTCAGTTCATGGCCCTGATTCACATTGACCGATATGTGTGACCCCTAACATAGATCATCTTTGTTGAATTTGACCCTTCATGTATTGTGATATTTGACCCTTAATACATTTCATCTTCACATGAGTTTGTTCTTTTTCCCCAAATAAACTATAGCTCCTTGATGGTAATATGTGTATCTTGTGCCCTAATATTTAGAAATATGTGTATACATTTCTAAAAATATGTATATATCTAATGATGAAACCTAAAATTTTGCAGAAAAATGAGAAATCATTGAAAGCTAAAATAATCATAGAAGCCTCGAGAATTTTCTTTCCTTACTTCTAGATGCCCTTTGTCTCATTGCTCAAGATTGAATCCAACTGCAAGATCCTATATAAAACCTGCACTGCTGCCCAACATCCTGGAGCAGAATTGCCTGCTCCTTCTTCTGTGTCCCTGGAACCTCTTACATTTCGTCTCTACACCTTTTATTTTCACCAATAAAACGTGAGGTCCTCAAGAGGAGGAATCTTAATTT